CACACTCTCTCTTTATCGGTGATGGAGCTGCAGATCTGTGCAGTTGTGCCGCACACTTGTTACTGCTCCGGTAATTGCCGATCTCCCCGCCGAGTTAGAAAACAATACGGACGCCATCAAAGGAAGACGCCGCTCGCCACAGGAACAACGCTTTCAGAACGGAGAGAGGGACGCACGGAGAGAGAGAAACAGAGAGAGAAAGAGAAAGAGAGAGAGAGAGAGAGAGAGAGAGAAAGAGAGAGAGAGGGGGGACGGGTGGGTGATGGAAGATGGGAAAGAAAATGTGGGGAATACAGAGATAAACCAGAAGAGAAGTAGAAAGAGACGGAAAGAGATTGACAGGAAGAGAAGAGAGAGAAGGAGAAGAGAGAAGGAAAGAGAGGGAGGGAGCGGTGGTGGTGGTGGTGGGGATGTGCCGATACCAGATCTTTCGATACCGTTTCGATACCACATATAAAACACTGAAAAATAGAGCCGAGTGAGGGAGACAGAGGTGAAGAAAAATACCATGACAGCTGACAGAGAAAGAGGGAGAAAAGAAAGAACGAGAGACAGAGAAAGAGAAAAAAAGCGAGAGAAAAAGAGGAAGAAAGAGAGAGAGAAAAGTATAGATGATGTGGCCAGGAAAGCTGGAAAAATGAAGAGAGAGAAAGAGACAAATGGAGAAAGAGAGAGAGAAAGAGGGGGAAAAGAGTGAAAGAGGGAGAAAGAGTGAGGAAGTGGTCATGAAAGTTGGACAGAAGGGAGAGAGAGAAAGAGATAGAGAGAAAAGAAAGAAAGAGAGAGCGCAAAAAGGAGTAATGAAGTGGCCGAGACATCGAGGAGAATGGAGAGAAAGAGAGGAAGAGGAAGAAAGAGAGAGAGATAAAGAAAGAGTGGGAGAAAGACACAGAGAGCAAGTGAGAGAGTGAGAAAGAGGGTGGAAGAAAGACAGAGAGAGAGAAACAGAGAAAGACAGAGAGGGGAAAAGGGAGAAAGACAAAGAGAGAGAAAGAGGGAGAAAGAAATACAGAGAGAAAGAAAGACAGTGAAAGAGAGAGGGAAAAACAGACAGAAAGAGAAAAAGAGAGAGAAAGAGGAGAAAGACAGAGAGAGAGAGATAGAGAGAGCAGACGAGAGGGAGAAAGAGAAAGACAGACAGAGAGAAAGAGAGAGTGAAAGACAGAGAGAGGAAGAGAAAAGGACAGAGAGAGAGAAAGAGAGAGGGAGAAAGACAGAGAGAAAGAGAGAGAGAGAGGGAGAAAGACAAGGAGGAAGAAAAACAGACAGAAAAAGAGAGAAAGAGGAGAAAGACAGAGGGAGAAACACAGAGGGGGAGAGACAGAGAGAAAGAAAGACACAGGGAGCGGGAGAAAGAGAGAGAAAGAAAGACAGAGAGAGAAAAAGAGAGTAGGAGAGAGAGAGAAAGAAAGAGGAAACGAAAAAGGGAGAAAGAAATACAGAGAGAAAGAAAGACGGGGAAAGAGAAAGAGGGAGAAAGAGAGAGACAAAAAGAAAAAGATGGAGTGATGAAGGTGACAGCTGGCAGAACTGTTCCAAACACAGAGGAGGAGGAGGAGGAGAGGGACGCAGGGATGGAGGGATGGAGTGAAAAGAGAGCAGACAGGAGAGTGGCAGGTACCGGGCGGAAATGCGCTAAAATGACAGCCTCGCTCCAAACTAAATGGAGGGAAAAAAAACCTCACAAAGGTTATGAACATGTTTGAAGGACAAGACAAATAAAAGGTGCACGGCGGCTCTGACACTCAGAAACACGCCGCCGCACCGACGTTTCTAAAGACTCCCGGGGCTAAACCCAACGACGGAAATGCAGGGAAATTCAACAAAAAGGTCTCTGAAAGGACCAAATGAGACCCGGCGGAGAGTTACGGTGCGTCGTCATGGCAACGGGAAGAAAAAGTAAAAAGGCTCCAAAGCAAAACAAACAACAGCGACGAGAAAAGTTTGGTTCGCTCAAGGATTGGCTGAAAGTTGGAAAGAGAAACGGAACTAAATAAAAAAAGGTAAAAGCACAAACCAGATTCGCTTGGTCGTAACTTTACATAAATTTAAACGGGTCGTACTTTTTTTCATGTAATATTACTACGGACAGTGTTGGGGAGTAACAGATTACATGTACCAGAGTTATGTAATCAGAGTACAAATGATGAGTAACTGTATTCAGTTACAGTTACTGTTTCAGTGAGTGGTAATTGGATTACAGTTACTTTGTTGAAATAAGTGGATTACAAGGCGGTATTTTCCTGTTTTCACATTTTGTGCTACATCCCATTTATTTATGTTTTTATTTCAGTAATTCCACTCATCACCGGAAACTCAAACAGAACGTGACAGTAAGAGCGATGTAAACGTCATGTTAAAGTTGGTGTCAGTCACACAGTGGAAGCAGCAGTGAACTGGTAAAAACACATTTGTATCTTAGAAATTCTTCTCCTGATGTGAGATAAATATATAATATATATATATATATATATATATATATATATATATATATATATATATATATATATATATATATATATATATATAACAAATATAAAATCGCCTACAAGTTAAATATGAAACAGGAGCTACTGGCACTGGTGAAAACAACCTGCATAGACTCATAATATCTGCACCACTGTCATATACCACACACACACACACACAAACACACAACACACACACACACACACACACACACACAAACACACACAACACACAACACACACACAAACACACACACACACAAACACACACACACAAACACACACACACACACAAACACACACAAACACACAAACACCTTCATCATCATCAACCTGAGAACCTGTGGACCTCGTTTCCTTCTGTAGTTACTGCGTGGACACCGACGTCTCGTGCGCCGCGTGTGGAACCTGTTTTCTCGCGTAAACCGCGCTCTCCCTCTAACTAACCCTAAACCAACTAAACCAGGACTAAACCAGGACTAAACCAGGACTAAACCAGGACTAAACCAGGAACTAAACCAGGACTAAACCAGGAACTAAACCAACTAAACCAGAACTAAACCAGAACTAAACCAGGACTAAACCAGAACTAAACCAGAACTAACACCAGGACTAAACCAGGACTAACACCAGGACTAACACCAGGACTAAACCAGGACTAAACCAGGACTAACCCAGGACTAAACCAGGACTAACACCAGGACTAAACCAGAACTAAACCAGGACTAAACCAGGACTAACACCAGGACTAAACCAGGACTAAAGCAGGACTGAACCAGGTTTAAACTAGGACTAAACCAGGACTAATCTAGAACTAAAGACCTGGTCTAGACCTGGTCTAAACCAGGTCTAAAATCAGGACTAAACCAGGACTAACACCAGGACTAAACCAGGTCTAAAATCAGGACTAAACCAGGACTAAACAACATGACACCTAACAGTAGGTCGACATAATTTAAGTTGATCTCATATAAAAAATTATTTCTCTATCAATAATATTTTTTAATATGTTTAAGGAAAGACTGATTGTTTTTGTCTTTTAACAGACAAAACCTCTGATCTTCAGATCTCCTGGTCTTTGTTTCTCTAGTTTCTTATTCATGGAGACTTGGACTCAGACAATTTGAAGAAAACAAACAAGAATTTTCAGGATGTGGTTGTTACATTCATGTAGTTTAAAAAAACATGACAATATCAAGTAATCCAAAGTAATCAGATTACATTAGTCATTTTAAGTAATTTAATGGATTACGTTACAAACTACATTTTGGTGTATGTAATCTGTAATCTGTAGGGGATTACATTTTAAAAGTAACACTCCCAACACTGACTATGGATGTAACAATAATCGAAATATCGTGATGTCGTATCGTCAAAGTTCTCACATTAACATCGTGGAACATCGCAAAATATCGAACTACAAGCCTCTTTGCTTAAATCACAGGTGTCAAACATGCGGCCCGGGGGCCAGATCCGGCCCTCCAAGACCTTTAATCTGGCCCTCGGCTGATTTTCTACAAAAATATTTTAATTATATTTTCTATGAAAATCTTGTTAATTTTCTGTGGTGTTTATCACAGCAGCGTCTCCAGCGTCTCTGTACGTGGCCCCTCCCACCAGAGCAGCACAAATGAAGACTTGTCTCTTTCCAAACGCTCTTAAAGGACGATCGTTTTGACTGTTGACCGTGACACCCTCATCAGAAAAATGTCCAACATGAGAAAAGTGGAGCCGAGTGCAGGATTTTACAACAAAAATTTACTTATTCCTATTTCTACAAGTTAATTTTATACAAGTTCATGTTAAAACTTTGTGTTGAAATTGTATTTTTCTTAAAGTTTCAGGTTGTTCATAATATTATAATATTTTGTAAAAGAAAGAGTTCATCAATTAAAAAAGATTTCTGTAATAGATTTGTGTTTCTCTGCACAAATATTTGAACTTATTGTTATTTTTGGGGTTTATATGACATGAGTTTTCTGATCCGGACACTTTGAGATCAAAGTCGGTTGAATACGGCCCCCGGACCAAAATGAGTTTGACACCCCTGACTTAAATGAAGAGTTACGATGCTGCAAAGAAAGAAGGAACTACATGATCCATGATCCTTTGCTCCATTTCAGTGCAGACGACAAGAAGAAATAACAGTTCTAACACTTTTAACTCTTAGTTCTTTGGATTAAGTCTTGTTCCACACAACCTTTAAGCGACTGATGAAATACCCAACGTCTCTACTTCCATCAGAGGATTTTACCACAACAAAAGCCAAAAAAAAGTTGTCTAGATGTAAATAAAGTTCTGGCTGCCCTGTGCTAAAAATCACACAGTAAAATTCCACAAAAAATGTCTAAATCATCATCGTCAACATGAGACACGGGATCTTTTACAGCGAACAAAACACTAAGAGAACTTTGACCTCGTAAAATATCTTCAGCAGTGACCAAACGTTCCAAGAAATAAACGCACACACTGAAAAGAAACACCATATGCATACACCATGTTCACGATCGCAACATGGGCGAGAGCTCCTACCGTCGTCGTCCTTGCTGTGTCTCCTCCGGTCCCCCGTGCGGCTCCCGGGGCTCAGGTCGGACCCGGGGCCCCTGTCCGCTGTCAGCCATGTGGGCTCGCTCATGTCTGCCTCCTCCTCCTCACTGCTCACTGAACTGTCATCCTGAAAGGAAAACAAAGCGCAGGGTGAGACGAGGAAACACAAGGGTCTCTGGGTTAGTTCGTGTTGTTTCGTTTGGTACGAAAACAACGGTCGAGTCTCGGGACTAAACGAAAGAGCTGATTTAACAGAACGTGAGAAACAGTCGCAGGAAACAAGATCCACTCTGAGAACTGCCCCAGAGCGCCCCCTGCCTCTCAGGTCTCGTCCACTTTAGTTCTTATTCGAGTTGTTTTCGTTGTGGATGCAGAGTTCGTTCACATTAATCCGATGGAAAAAGGCTCCAACGACGGAACGATCTGGTGTTTCATTTGTTCATTTGTTTTTCAATATAAAACCAAAAATAAGAAAATAAAAAAAAACAACAGTTTTCTTCGTTATTTGTCTCCAAAACCAAAATGAAAAAACAGATGATTCATTTTTTTCAGTTTTTGATTTTGTGTTTAAATGAAAAATGGAAAAAAAAAACGGATAACGACTGTTTCCCGTTTACGTGACGTCTGTGACTGTGATGTCGGACTTTTGCACCACATACAGACTGAACCAGGACTGATCCAGGTCCGGGACCAGACCATGACCAGACTGGGACTGAGACCGAGACCAGACCAGGACCAGACCGGGACCAGGCAGAGACTGAGATTAGAACTGAGACCGAGACCAGACCAAGACTGAGACCAGACCAGGACCAGACCGTGACCAGACCGGGACCAGACCATGACCAGACTGGGACTGAGACCGAGACCGAGACCAGACCAGACCAGGACCAGACCGGGACCAGACCAGGACTGAGACCGAGACCAGACCAGGACCAGACCGGGACCAGGCAGAGACTGAGATTAGAACTGATACCGAGACCAGACCAAGACTGAGACCAGACCGGGACCAGACCGGGACCGAGCAGGACTGAGACCGAGACCAGACCGGGACCAGACCGGGACCAGACCGGGACCAGAGCAGGACTGAGACCGAGACCAGACCGGGACCAGACTGGGACTGAGACTGAGACCAGACCAGGACCAGACCGGGACCAGGCCGAGACTGAGATTAGAACTGAGACCGGGACCAGACCAAGACTGAGACCAGACCGGGACCAGACCGGGACCAGAGACCAGACCGGGACCAGACCGGGACCAGAGCAGGACTGAGACCGAGACCAGACCGGGACCAGAGCGGGACTGAGACCAAGACTGACACCAGACCAGAACCAGACCAGGACCAGGCTGGGACCAGACCGGGAACAGACTGGGACTGAGACCAAGACGAGGCCGGAATCAGGCCAGGACCAGACCAGGACAAGACCGAGACTGAGACCAGGACTGAGACTCGGACCCTGCGGAGGCTCGGAGTCAAAGCTCGGAGTCAAAGCTCTGGTTCTGCTCTGGTCCCGGTCTGGTCCTGGACCTGGATCAGTCCTGGTTCAGTCCGTATGCAGCGCAAAAGTCCGGCATCGCAGTCACGTTAGTCACGTTACGTTATCCATTTTTTCCATTCTTCATTTAAACAAAATCAAAAACTGAAAAAAAAACAAATCATCATCTGTTTTTTTCATTTTGGTTTTGGAGACAAATAATGAAGAAAACTGTTGTTTTTTCGTTTTCTTATTTTTAGTTTTATATTGAAAAACGAATGAACGAATGACACATGGATTTGCCAACTCCTACAAATTCATCCGAGCACAAATCTGATCCGGCTCAGTGTGTCAGATGTTTAGACCAGACGTCCCAGTTTTGAGTCTGTGTCCCCTGTCCCAGCAGATTTACACAAAACTATTGATTTGTCCCAGTTTTATAGAAGAAATGACCCAGGTGTCCCTATTTTTGACCAATCTGATCCCTGCCAACAGTAAAAAGAGCCATAAACTGTCATTTGTTTAGATAAAATACAGAAAAGCTGCTTAAAAACGACCAAAACACAAAGAAAATGTGACTGTACTGACTCATGTTTGTTGTGAAGTCATAAACGGACCAAGTGAAGAACAGTTTTCTTTAATTACAGGCTCGTTTCACAATTTTATTACTACCGACTACCACAAACCGTAAAGTAGCGGCAGTACACAGAAGTACGCAGCAGTACTTGGCAGTATTTGTCAGTACACAGAGGATTGTGAGGCAGATTAACAGTCGCTGTTTCTCATTCAAACATTTATCTCCAAATCAATGTGATCGAAGAAGCACAAGAGCAAAACTGAGCGCGTTAATAAACTCTGAACACAAACAGACAGACAGAGGACACAGTCAACACTGATACTGATACTGATACTGATACTGATACTACTATACTGTTACTGGTACTGGTACTGGTACTGGTACTGTTACTATTACTACTGGTACTGGTACTGCTACTACTACTACAACTGCAGGACCTGGTTTAGTCCTGGTTTAGACCTGGTTTAGTCCTGGTTTTAGTCCAGATTTTAGTCCTGCATTAGTCCCGCTTTAGCTCTGGTTTATTCCTGGTTTAGTCCTGGTATAGTCCTGGTATAGTCCTGGTTTAGTCCTGGTTTTAGTCCTAGTTTAGACCTGGTTTTAGACCTGGTTTTAGTCCTAGTTTAGACCTGGTTTTAGACTTGGTTTTAGACCTGGTTTAGACTTGGTTTAATCCTGGTTTAGTCCTGGTTTAGGCTCCGTTTAGATCTGGTTTTAGTCCTGGTTTAGTTCTGGTTCAGTCCTGGTTTAGGCTGAGTTTAGTCCTGGTTTTAGTCCTGGTTTAAACTTGGTTTAGTCCTGGTTTAGACTTGGTATAGACCTGGTTTACTTCAGGTTTTACTTCTGGTTTAGTCCTGGTTTTAGTCCCGCTTTAGTTCTGGTTTAGTCCTGGTTTACGCTCCGTTTAGATCTGGTTTTAGTTTACATCCTGGTTTTAGTCCAGATTTTAGTCCTGCATTAGTCCCGCTTTAGCTCTGGTTTAGTCCTGGTTTAGTCCTGGTTTAGTCCTGGTTTAGTCCTGGTTTAGTCCTGGTTTAGTCCTGGTTTAGTCCTGGTTTAGTCCTGGTTTTAGACCTGGTTTAGTCCTGGTTTAGACTGGTTTAGTCCTGGTTTAGACCTGGTTTAGTCCTGGTTTAGACTTGGTTTAGTCCTGGTTTAGACCTGGTTCAGTCCTGGTTTAGAGACACGGTCCAAGCGGTGTATACGAGTCAAAAAAGGTGACGCTCTAAACTATGAGTCGATTGTCAGAATGGCGACATCAAAAATCGTCGGATGGGAGGGTTGTCGGGATGTCGGTCTGTCGGAACAAGGTTTGAGCCCCGGCAGCGGCACAGCGGTGAGTCGGAAGGAGAAGGACAGAGCGAGGAACAAAGAGATTCAAAAAGAGACAGAAACACACACAAACCAAGAAAAATAAACGTCCGTTACCGTCCACCGTTTGAGTCGTTTCATTTCACAGCAGCAATGGCACAGATCAGACACACGAACGAGCCCCGACCTACGACACTAAACAACAAACCCCGGTCTCCGCGCACGAGCGACGCTCAGTCAGAAGAACCAGAAGAACACTCGACACCTGCAGTAATCCTTCACTACACACGGGTCAACGAGAGGTTCAAGTGTTTCTCCAGCGTCACGGCAAAAACAGCTTTTTCCTTCCGACGTGTATTTAAATATTGAATTGTGCAAAGAGAAAAATCCTTTGTCCGTACGAGTCAATGTCGTTTGGAAATACTGAGGTGGGTTTTGTTTATATACTTTGTGACACCGGGTTAAGGTTTGATAAATATAAAAAAAAAAGAGTCTAATCAAAGTCCATTCACGTTTTGATTTCGATTTGGTCGTGACTGATCTTGCAGCCGTACAGACTTTGTTCCAACACAGAAAAGTCTGGAACTGAACCATAAAGTGACAAAAAAGATTATTCAGGACGGTCCAATCACAGCCGATCATTTTGTGGCATCACTAAGGCTCGGTACCGTTAGATTTTTTCGATGCCAGTACTTTAACGATACTTGCTTTTCGATACTGGTTCTTAAACGGTTCTTTTTTCGGTGCCTGTAATTTTTTAAATAAAAATTTATGACTATAATTATTAATAAAAAATATACTTGAATTACAAATGGACTGTCACGCGCTTAAATTTGACTTATGTTTTCTACATTTGCTGCACTTTACGTCAAAAACCAACTTAAATAACTTTACGTGTCTACTGCACCGTTACCTAGATGGAGGAGAAGGATTATGGAAAACTTTACACTGACTCATTGCAACCGTGAAATTGGCCCCATCAAATACAAACCTACACAAAAATTTTGTCAGTCGTTGGTTCTCCGTTTGTGCCGTTTCGTGCTGCTTTAGTTTGAGTTAGAGCTTCTTAAAAATGCTCTAAAATGGCCCAAAACGAGGTCAATCGTGTCTGCTTCATTTGTGCTGCAAAAAGTTTTGTTTGTGCGATTCTCGTTCTTAAGATATCAGCGGTTTTATTTTCGGCCAAAGAAGTCATCCAGTAGCCTGATTTATCAGCTGGTTTCACTTCGTAGAACCTGTCTGACCTCGTAGACCTTCGTCTACGTCCATCTCGACGCTTTGTTTACTGTTGTGCTGTTCCACAAAAGGGACACAGACACGACGCAACGAGTTTGACGTCATGACTTCACAGCTCACAGCTGATTGGCCAGTGTCTCTACAACTGCCGGGTTCTTGTGTGTAGTGTATTCTGACTCCTGACCTAGTCGCTGGAGAGAAATGAAATTGAGCAAAGGCACTAGGTGGCGCCAGCCTGTCGAATTGAAAACTTTATATTTGGTTTGTGCTGTCATAATTTTCATTTGTACAAGTTTATTTCTAAAATGATTAATTGTTATTTTTGTGGAAATTATATGAGGTCATTTCCAGTCAACTGACGGCATCGGCTTTAACAAAACTCTGCAAAACTAGTGAAGAGAAACGATCACAAGCAGTGGAAAAGTCTGTATCAGTTTTTAGTAATTTGTTTTTGAATCATATTTTAGATAATAATACAGACTTTTTTTTTTTTTTTTCCAAAAAGTTTTTAAAAATTCTCTTACAGTTCAG